GATATAGGTGGTCAACCGTACGTCCTGCAATGATCTAGCTAGAAGCCAACTGCATTTATTACCAGATTCATAGAATAGTTTCCTGTCAGCCTGTATGGCCGCTTTGGCCTTGTAAGTAAATACGAAACTTGTTGCTGTAAACTCAGCAGGTCCCTTTTAATGGCCAGAGAAGGTGAGTGTTTATGACTACTTTCTAACCACTGTATGTCCGCAAGAAGAGATGTAAGTGTCCATTCTCATTTCCGTTTAATGCGGGCCCCAAGCTTAATCAGCACACCGTGAATAACTGCCTTATGAGCTTCCAAGACTACACCTGGGTCACAGTCTGCTGTAATGTTAGTCTGAAAGTAGCCACCAAGATCCTTTACCACAACATCTTGGATGGAATATATCAAGACAATGGCCGTATGATTCGACCATGTAATATTCCCTATGGAGGTTGCCGGTGGGGCATGAGGTTGCCGGTGGGGGGACAAGAAAAAAGTCAATACAAGAGTATACCTTATGAGGAACTGAGTAATAGGTGTAGTCCCTCTCTCCCAAGAGGAGTAACCTCCAAGCGTCTTCCAGTTGATTGTTATAAAGGATTTGGGAAATGCATCTGCGGGAGCCCAGTGAAAGTGAAGATAAACCAGAAGAAGAGGTGTCCACCAAGGGAACAAGTGGGACATTAAAGTCACCACCAAGAATCAAGTGGCCCTCGGTAAATTCCATGAGTTTTGCTAAAGTGGATTGCAGGAAAAGGTCCTGCTGAATGTCAGGGACATAGAGGGTCGCCAGAATCAACTTAACACCACCAATTGTTCCTTTAAGTACCGTCCATTACCACCCACTAGGGGTGTCTGAGCAAATCCAAGGTATCTTACTAGGAATCAGAATAGAGACCCCTTTTGACTTAGCAACTTTATTAGTCGTGTGATAGGTCTGGGGGTAAAATCTGTTCCTGAGAAAAGGTAGTCAATCATCCCTGAAATGAGTCTAAAAGCTATGTCTGCTCATAGGAGGTAAAGATCATGTAGGATGACACGTCTTTTTTAGAGACATTAAGGCCCTAAAAATGAAGGGAAACAATGCAGAAATTATCCATTCTGTCAGATCAGGAAAAAAAGCAAAAAGAGAAAAAAAGGGGGAGGGGGGACAGAAGGAGGAGGGTGTGAAGAGTAGGTGGTGAGAGAGGAAAAGGAGAGTGAATAAACAAAAGGAAAGGGGGAGTAAAAAGCAGAGGAAAAGGAGAAGCAAAGGTAGAATGAAATGTAGAAGAATAAAGGTAAAAGAAAAAGGAAAGGGATATGAGAGAGGTTAAAGCAACAGGGCAAGCCCCGAATGGAGCTGTACCTGTATCAAATACTAAAGCAGAGAAACTCTACAAACACTCATGGCCCCACCAAGTGGAGCCAAAGGTGTTAACCTAAGGGGGGAAGTGGTCAGAAAAAGACAAAGTGAGAGAGCTCCCAGTGTTTCTAACCTCAGCTAACAGACTCATCATACAAGCAACATATACAAGGGCATGAAGTGACAATAGCCTAAAAATGGATACAGCAAGAGCAACATATAACTGTATAGAAGTAAAAAGGAACTGGCCAAACCAGGCACAACTCAAAGATAACTGTCAGCTATATACCACAAAGCCTAGTGGAATCCTGTGCGGCTGGGACAGGTCCGAAGCCCCACACAGGAGGAAAGGATGAACCAGGGCAGACTGGCCAACCAAACATATCAAAGGACAATAAAAAAGAAGGGTGGGGAAACTAGAGCTCCCACAAAAAGCATGAGTATTGTCTACCTAGGATGCAAGTTTAGAATTCCTGGAGATCCAGGCCCCATGGGCACTCCAGGAGAGTATCACCCTTAACTAACCACACAGAGGCCCAGATCAACAGGAGACCACAGTGCACTCCAACTCCAGGAGGGATCCCCTCGGCCAGTAGTAGGCAACAACTCACAGCCACCATGTGTGGCACTAAAAGACAGGAAGCATACCCTCCCCCATATCAGGAGCACCTCCATCCCCACCTCAACAGCACATGTCAATATGGTATCCCCTCAGGCAGGGGAGGTCCCCCTAAAAAATGAGGGGTGCACCCCTTTCCCAATGAGGGCAGCATGGCCAAGGTGAGACTCACCACAGGAGCAAGGAAACATGGTCTCCAGCACAGAAATAACACCACATAAGGCTCTGAGTTGAAAATAGTACAATTTGTATCCCAGGGTGGTTATAAACATTGAGAAGTTAAGCCCTCTTATTCAAATATGAGTTCCCTAGAACCACAGTACATGGTTCATACATCTTGCACTGCACAGGACATAATGAAAACATTGAGGCTCAAAGTCCTTCCTGAGGTTAGAAAGGCACCTGTAAAGAAAAGGTGGTTAAAACATTAGGTCTATGTGCAAACCAGAGTTGGTGCAATAGGGGGGGGGGGGGGATCTGCCACTGAAAACGCCTTGTGGATGTAATGTCATTCACATCCAATGGTAAACAAGGCAAGTCATATAGGGAAGAGGCTCCCCAGGGGTAGCAACAGAGTCAGGAAAAATAACTTCATGACCCTGGGTCACCAGGAATCAGGATTCTCCCAAGCCCTCCAGGGTGGGTGTCCGGGAGTGTCATCGAGGTCTAGGAGGATGGGGCAGCAGTCGATGTGCAGGGCCCATACCCAGACATCCCAAGGCTGAAAAAAGGAAATTTAATCCAATCTGGTACCTGGATCAGGTCAGTCTCCGTGAAGGTGAAAAGGTCTGACAGATCTGCTGATAAACTCAAGGTGTAGGCTAGTGGGCGCTTCCGGAAAGTGACCGCCAGAGGAAATCCCCATCTGTAAGAATCCCAGCTGATGAATCCCAGCTGATGAGCTGTTTCAAGAACTGGACTCAGTAAGGATTTGCGCTGTAACGATGGCTTTGGAGAGATCCAGCAAGATCTTTACAGCAGCACCATCAAAGTCCACTGTGCCCAGTTGCCAGGCTTTCCGAAGGATAGCCTCTTTCTGAGTGTAGCGATGTAGACAACAAATTATGTTTTTGGGCCTGTTCAGGTCCATGGAGCGAGGGCCCAGGGCTCTGTGAACCCCGTCCAGTTCCAACGTAGATGGGGGGGGGGGGGACAGTATCAAGAAACCTATGAAAAATGGCTGTAACAGTGTCCTGGAGAATATTCAGGCCCGTGGCTTCAAGGATGCCTTGGAGTTGAAAGCTGTTTCAGCAGCTCCAATCTTCCAGGTTCTCCAGATGGGGTTGCAGCACCACTGCGGTACCGGCCTGTTGTAGTTGTGCCGTCTCAGTACTGCCACCCTCTGTTCCAATGTGGAGGTAGAAGATTATCCAGATGGGATGCGGGTAGAGAGGTTTTGCATGTCTTTCTGGACCACTTGCATCTCTTGGCAGTGCGAGTCCTCCAACTGGAGGATGAGTGATTCAATATCCGCCTTGGTAGGGAGGGCCTGGATCAGTTCCCTAAGGTTCTACGTCTGCCCCACCAACCAGGGAAACAGCAGCTGGGGGCGGGGAACCCGGCAGTCCTGAGAATAGAGCCACCAGTGTGTTCGAGAAAGCACCTGAAGTCCCTGACAGTGCCAGAGAGGATGGCTGGACCATAGTAGAAGGGTGGCTCAGAGAACCTCTTGGCACCAGGGCTAGGTCTCTGAGATCCCAGGAAAAAGCGATGAATTTCTGTCCTCGGTCCCGAGGACCGAGATGGCTTGTGCACAGAATTGGTCTTGCGCTTCTTGGCTGATAGCATGCCATCATAGAAGGTAAAAGAAGCAGTATAAGCCATGAAGAAGCCAGGAGCTCCAAGAAGATGCATCTGTACTCAGCCATGTCCAAGCCACGCCCCCGTCCCATGATGTTTAAACGAGGCCCTGGTTTATCAATAGGAAACCTAAAAATTAGTTGCTAAAAACAATCACCTATCAACATGTTTACATGAAAAAAAATCACTGTTCAGTGTTAACTATTTTGGTATCTAGTTTGAGGACTATAATTGCCAACAGGATTGTTTTTGAATTTGGAAGCATTCACTGTAAGAAATGGTAAATTTGTTAGACCCAAGTCAGCTCAACCACAACTCAATCAGACACTTTTACGTGCACCTAGCAGCACAAAGGCAATGTCCATTCATGTGTTTGGATATCTTTTTCTTACCAAAAAGCAGAGGGTCTGTAAGGGAATCCCGGTAGGACGATTGGCAAATAGAAGTGCGCATGCGCACAGAAATGCGAGATCGCACACACGCATGCACACACACACGGTGAAGATTGGCACCAGATTATTTAAAAGGTGCCTCTGCCTGTGCTGAGTGCTGACTGGTCTTCAGCTGTTCCCCGTTTCCTGCTTGTTAATGTGTGATTTCCTTGTTGCTGACCTGGCTTGTTCCTGACCTGACTCTGATTACTCTCCTGCTTGATACTTGTTCCTGAATTCGGCTCTGCTCCTGACTTTGGCTCGCTTATGATTTGGTACCTCGCTGTCTACCCGTTGATGACCCAGGCTATTCCTATGACATTGCTCCTGTCTCCCATCCCAGCTTCCTGCCTTGCTCTGGTGCACACCTGGCGACCTACTATACCAGCTCTGCATATCACTACTGATCCTGAATCGGAGGTTCATCAGTCTTCCAAAGTCTCGAGCTGCAAGAGCTGCAAACAACATCTGCTGGTGCTCTTGTCACCCTGGTCCCTAGACACCCTCTGTTCCATTTCCAGTGGGGTCAGGGCTAGTGACACAAGTGAGGCAGACCTCGTCATTTCAGTCTCCAATCAGGTACAAGACAGGATCAGTAGTTATGTTTAACCGCCTCCCGCCCTCCTTATAGTCCAATGACGGACGCAAGGCGGTTACTCTCGTTCTGGGAGGACGTCATCTGACATCCTCCCATTCTCACCTCGCATGAACGGCTCTGGGAGCGTGACAATCCGCGGTGTGCTGTGGGATGGGAGACAGCGGATCACCGATCCACGGAAAGAGCCGAAGATGTCGGCTCGGTCATGTGATCAGCTGTGTCCAATCACAGCTGGTCGCATGTAAACAGGGAAATGCCAGTTATCGGTATTTCTATCCTCACGAGCTGTCATGCTGACAGCTCGTGAGGAGAGGAGAGCCGGTAATCGACATTCCTCGGAGGGGACATGTGCACTGATCATCAGGGCACTGATGATCAGTGTGCCCTGATGATCAGTGTAGCCCCAGCAGTGCCACCTGTCAGTGTCCATCAGTGCCAGATCTCAGTGCTCATCCATGCCACCTGCCAGTGCCCATCAGTGCCACATCAATGCCACATATCAGTGTCAACCAGTGCACATCAATGCTACATATTGGTGCCCATCTGAGCTGCCTTTCAGTGTCACCCATCAGTGCCAGTCAGTGCCACCTATCAATGCCAATCAGTGCCACCTATCAGTGCTGCCAATCAGTGCCACCTATCAGTGCCAGTCAATGCCGCCTATCAGTGTGCATCAGTGCCGCCTATCAGTGCCCGTCAGTGCTGCCTAACAGTGCCACTTAACAGAGCCAGTCAGTGCCACCTAACAGTGCCAGTCAGTGCCACCTAACAGTGCCAGTAAGGGCTACCTATCAATGCCAATCAGTGCCACCTATCAGTGCTGCCAATCAGTGCCACCTATCAGTGCCAGTCATTGCCACCTATCAGTGTGCATCAGTGCCACCTATCAGTGCCCGTCAGTGCTGCCTAACAGTGCCACCTAACAGAGCCAGTCAGTGCTACCTAACAGTGCCAGTCAGTGCCGCCTATCAATGCTGCCTATCAGTGCTGCCTTTCAGTGCCCATCAGTGATGCTTGTCAATGCCCATCAGTGCCACCTATCAGTGTCCATCAGTGAAGCCTATCAGTGCCCATCACTACAGCCACATTTCAGTGAAGGAGAACAATCACTTATTTACAAAATTTTATAACAAAAACTAAGAAAAAACTTTTTTTTTAAAAAAAAAATTTCAGTGGTTTTTGGTTTGTTTAAGAAAAAATAAAAAACCCAGAGGTGAATAAATACCACCAAAATAAAGCTCTATCTGTCACAAAAAAACAATAAAAATTTTATATGGGTAGAGTGTTGCATGACTGCGCAATTGTCATTCAAAGTGTGACAGCTGTGAAAGCTGAAAATTGGCCTGGGCAGGAAGGGGGTATAAGTGCCCTATAGGCTAGTGGTTAAACCTGCTAGGTAGGAGATTTGTTCAGGGTCACTGTAAGAAAGAAGGGATTGGGGTCTCTGAGCAGTACATTGCACAGCTCTTCCGGGCCTCTACTGCTCCATGGCATTTTTAGCATCCATAAAGGAATTTCACACTTAGTTCTCCAGTAAGTTTTATCCTTTTAAGATGTACTGTGGAAAAGGGGTCTGCACCAAGTCAACAACGGTCAAGCGGCTTGATTTGGAGAAGAAGTTGAGCGGGAACTGGTTGCAAAATACTGGGTACTTCATGATTATGCTTTCTCTTAACTTGAGCACCAGCTGCCTTGCTGACTACTACCTATTTAAAGTAATTTTATGAATGTAGCACCCTCCTAGGTAAATAGGTGAATGCTGTAGTCAGAGTAGCTGTAATTATGTGTTAGGTAAGAGCATAGTTAGGTCATTGTACTTGGTGAGCTGTGATCATTTAGTTAGGTCTGCTCTGTGTTCTCATCTGCTGTAGGTCTACCTAGCTTCTCTGTATCCAGGAAACTTGAGAGGTTTCTAGATAATAGGTGTGGAGTTATGCAGCATGCATTGTGATACTTCCTCAGCCTATCCCAGAGAGACTGGCTCTGATGGTATGCTGGTAACTGTATATTAGTGATGGGCTGAACACCCCCCTGTTTGGTCCATGATCGAACATTTGAACCTAACGAACATTTGACCATGAGCTTTGAACAGAGGGGCCAATTCACTAAGTGGTATCTTAAAGCACAGCTAGATACTGCACAGCACAGATACTTCACAGCTTCTAAAAACATTCTTTAATATTTCAGCTGTCAGCGGGACTCCCCACTGAATGAGTATGGGGTGCATGGTATCTCTACTCATTCACAAAAAGTGTAGTTTAAAAAATAACAGTTGACAAATCCTTTATTAAGAAAATTTTTTTTGAAAGTCCCTCAAAGAAGATTCTAAATCAATCATGATGCCCGCCGCCACTGATGACCCGAAAAAAGTTAAAATAAATGCTCCGCTCTCAATGATGAATCCCGCCATCTGACAGCTGTGCTGGGATGAGAGTTCTTAACCGCTTCCATACTGGACACTTTCATCCCCTTCCTGCCCAGGCCAGTTTTCAGGTTTCAGCGCTCTCACATTTTGAATGACAATTGCGCGGTCATACAACATTGTACCCAAACTAAAATTTTAACATTTTCTTCACACAACTAGAGCTTTCTTTTGGTGGTATTTAATCACCGCTGGGGTTTTTATTTTTTTTGCTAAATTAACAAAAAAAGACCAAACATTTTGAAAAAACATTTGTTTCTGTTATAAAAGTTTGCAAATAAATAATTGTTTTTCATAAATTTAGGCCAAGATGTATTCTGCTACATGTCTTTGGTGAAAATAACCCAAATTAGGATGTATTTTTTAGTCTGTAGGAAAGTTATAGAGTTCACAAACTATGGTATAGATCTGAATATTGATCAATCCTGAAGTACTGACGGCCAATCTAATTTCTTGAGATCCAAGAATGTCAGAACAGTACAGATATCCCCCAAATTGCCCCTTTTTGCAAAGTAGACAGTCCCACGTATTTCATCAGAGGCATGATGAGTTTTTTAAAGTTGTAATTTTTTGTCATAATTTTTTGGAGAATGAAAACATTTTTTTTTATTGGTTTAAATTTTTTATTACACTTTTTTCTCTTTTTTTTTAACCACTTCCTGTCCTGTTTATAAATGGCAGGACGGTGGCAGTCAAGGGGCGGGTTGCTGTTCATAAATGGCACCTGCATTTTCAAGTTGTGCGTGCTCCCTGGGATCGCGCAGCACTGCGATCCAGTGCCTGCTGTGTCCTCTGGACACAGTGGAACACCGATCGTTGTACGGGACCTCTCTGCGAGGTCCCGATCATGTGATCACTGATTGGCCAATCAGTGATCACATGAAGAGTAGTAAGCAAGATGTCACTTCTGACATCATTGCTTACTACATGTGAAATCTGTGAATGATCACAGAGGTCACATGGTACAAGGCTATTCACAACACCCTTGTACAATGTGACAAGCTGTGACCAATCACAGCTCACACAGTATTTCTCATTGGCTGCAAGAATGCAGCCAGAAAGAAGGAGAAATTATTGTTTTTACATCCTTTAGGGGTGTAAAAGCAATCAGTGTAAAAAAAAATCTTCATCACCCCCCACAAGTAGTACAGTGTCACCATGGTGACACTGTACTGCTAGGGTGACAGTATGTAAAAAAAACCATAAATAATAATATAAAAAAATAAAATAAAAATGTAAAAAAAAAGTTTATAAATTATAATTTTTGGTTATAAACTAATTTGGGCTATTTTTTTTTTTTTTACTAAAAAGATAACTGAATAAAGTTTGGCCAACATTTATGATGAAATATTATTTATTTGGAAAACACTTTTTTTCAAAATTTTTGGACTTTTCATTTATATAGCAAAAAAGAATAAAAATCCCAGTGGTGAATAAATACCACCAAAATAAAGCTTTATCTGACTCAAAAAATGCTAAAAAATTCATATGGGTACAGTGTTGCATGACCGCGCAATTGTCATTCAAAGTTTGATAGCGCTGAAAGCTGAAAATTGGCCTGGACAGGAAGGGGGTGAAAGTGTCCGGACTTGAAGTGGTTAAAGATTTTTTTTTCCATATTTCACTATGGCGAAAGTAGTACAATGTTACCATAGTAACATTGCACTGCTTTGGGGAAGTGATTCATATTTTTTTTTACACAATTTGCTTATAGCAAAGAATTACTTTGCTATAAGCAAGCATTTACCTGAATGACATCAATTCATTCAGGGTTTTTTTTTTTTTTGTGCTTAGCTGTGATTTGGTCATGGCTAATCACATGACACAGCTGGGCTGTGATTGACCCAGCTTGTGCATGTGATCGCTGTGACCATTCACAGCTAGACACACTAGTATACAATGGATGGCATGAAAGGAAGCCATCCATTGTATACAACTGTCATGTGACCTGCTGTGATTGGTCACAGCAGGTCACGTGGTACTGGAAACGGGGCCGGTACACAGATCTGTCATCGGCCATGTCCGAGGTACACGGCCGGTGACAGATCATGCCCTGTGGGCAGGCGCACTGCGCATCCTTGAAAGGATGCCATGTGGCGTCCACCCGGAGGGAAGAGGTGTTTTGCTGGCCGCCTTTGTGCTATTGGCCGGGCGGGAACCGGTTAAATACAGTAATGACGTCACAAGGGGGCTGGGTCACCCTGCCCCTTGTGATGTCATCATGCGCTGTGATTGGCCAAATCATTTCACCCGACCAGTGCATTGTGCAGTGGGGCGCAGTTGTCGAACAGCCTGCCGACCACCCTTACCGTTTGTGTGTTTGCAGAACATCCAGCCCAACACTACTGTATATATACAGTGAGCACATGGGGGTATGAGTATATTCTGTCCAGAATTGGTCCATCCTGGGAGACAGCACATTACGCTCCCAGGTATCTACTGCCATGCGTGGGTGACCTGAGGGTCTGAATGCTGAGACTTGGGTTCTGCTATGCTGATGGAGGGGCTGTCTACTGAAGATCTGGTCTGGTATCATGGAGGAAGGCATCCAGCTAATCTTGGACCTTGTGAGTATAGTCAACCCTAAGTGTACATAGTTCCTATTTTTGGAGTATCCCACTCATCTCCCTCATCCCTATCCAAGCTCTCAAAAAATAAAAACAACAAAAACACCACCCCTAGACTGGTTATTGGAGAAATGTGTGAACCAATGTGAGTCTATGTGTCTGGTTGTGGGGCTAAGTAATTGGGGAGGACCTGGACAGTATTCCTGTGGAATAACGATACATACATATCTGTTGCATTTATTCTTGTCCAAGGCATACTTGTCATATTGTGTGAAGCCCCTCAACAATAGCAATATTAAGCAGTACTTGGTTAAAATTTGAGCAATTTTCCTAGCTGGGAAGGACTTTTAGTTTTATACCTATTCTATAGGGATTAACAGGAAAACAAAACCTCATATAACAAGTACTTTGTTATATTTAAGCTGAAATGCCAGAGAAGCATGGCATGGTGAAGGGTAGGAACTAGACATGTGAATGCCGCAAATGTTACTTTAGTTTCCGATGCATTTGTTCATTGAAAAATTTTGTTTCATCATATCAGTTATGTTGACCCATTTCATTTTCAGAATTAATTTCGTATCTTCAACATTCCTTTCGTATATTCATTGGTCCAGGTGGATTTGAAAATGTAGCAGTGTTTCCAC